TTTTTTAAAAGTTAACAAAAAAAATGTTGAAAAAAATTTAAACCAACTTTTTGCTCCGCTTTTGTCGCTTTGTCGTAAATTAATTTTTTTTCTGGTATCTGTACAGAGAATCAGGCACACTGAGAACATAGAGGTCAGTTAGTATTTGCTGGTTGGCTGCGCGCCGTTGTTGGGCTGGGCAACCGTTTTGATTCCGTCTGCGGATCCTTTCATTGCAACTGCACAGCATTTATGCAGGGTTACATAGAAAACTGATACGTTTGACAAGGTAACAGTTTCTTCTCGCAACCAAGAACCTAAAGGATTGCTTTTGGGTTAGCGTAGTAAATCTAAAATTCTAAAAGAGAAAGCTCCAAAAGTAAGAACTCCTTTTACAAAAGTAAAATCGCTAGATTTGATGTAGGAAGGGGAAAAAAAGGAACTGGAAGTAACAGCGGTACCAAAGGTGCGATTATTTCTGTGTGCACTAATTGGTGCACTTCATTTGGAAGGTAAACGGATTATGTCGGAATATATATAAGAAAAAAGCTGCGGGAAACGCTTTTTTGTATCAAGAAAAAAGTTAACTTTCTCAGCTGTCACTAGTGACTTTCCTGTGACACTTTAACTACCTGTTCTTTGTAAATGATTTATTTTATTCAAAAAACTGTATTTTATCAGTTAATTGCAATTGCAAACGTTTTTATGCTACACAAAAACGTCCCTCCTTTAAGCCTCTGGTAATAAAATCCAAAAAAAACTTTTCTGTCATATCAAACGTTATCAGTTTTCTTCCTAATTCTTTGCAATTCTTATGCAGCTGCAATTCAGAAGATCCGCGATGAGAAGAAATTTGGTCGCTCAGCATTCTAATGACGAGAAGTCTATCTAGAAGGTTACTGGTTCCAAATTTCGCACGGGTTTTTTTCCTCACAAAAGTAATATTTTTTCAGCAAAACTGTCAGAAAATGAGTTTTAAACAAAAATTTTATGGATTTTAAATAGCTGAAAAAAACACAGTAATAACCTTGCCCTTCTTTTAGCTCTCCATTCCGGTCACCATCTACACCTCTTGAACCATGGTATCCGGACTTAACAACTGCGGCTCTGTATCGACCACTGTGGGCCGGAGCGGAAACGGGTGGTACTACGAGGACTACCACCAGCAGTACCATCGCGACGACGTCTACCGCTAAGAACGCTTCCTCGGACGATTCGCTAAAACCCGTTTAATCATCTCAGTGATCTCAATTTAATTCTCAGTTCTTTTTCTATGTCTTATTCTTTTCTAAAATCTTTGAAAAAATTAGAAGAAAAAGTTATTTGTTTTACTAGCATTAGAAACATAAACATCAGAAATGTTTCATTAACATTATATCACTCTCTTATTCTCTTTGCTCTTTGACTAACTAAAAAAAGCAATAATATTTGAAAATACAATCTAAAGAAAATTGTAGAAATTGAAGATTCAGGTAGAACAACTACAGAAGTATAGAAGTAGCTTTTTTTCGCTGGAACAATTGAATAATTAGTAATTTTAATTGGTTTTTATGCAGTTATATGAAAATCAATTTGACTTATTCTATAATCGCTGTTTTTCTTAGCTTCAATCACAGGCGGCAGAAGTGGTAAAAACGTAAAAAAATTTGGATGTAGATGAGAAGTTAAAGGTGTAAACAGTGCTTTTAAAATTAATTTTTATACAATAAGTTCTCGAGCGGGAAGGACAAAAAAAATTTTTAGCATACCACAAGACTGCCGTTGCTGTTTGTTGTAGGCGAAAAAGCTTTTGTTCATTGACACCAGGAAGAGTCGTATGCTTCGTTCATTTGTTTGTTCTTTCTGGTCCTTATTTAATACTGCGAACACATGTTGAAAAACAAACACCAATTTTAATTTAAGATTTGTTCTTTTTTTTTCTTGCTCTTCTCTTACGAGGATTGTTTACTGTTTGTAGTAAAAACTTGAAAAAAGTCACTAATCAGCTGTTTACCGATTGAGATGTAAAAGAAGACAAGCAAAAGAAATGTTGCTCTAAACTTAAAGCAATACGCATTAAAAATGTTTGTCAGATAACCAAATTCACCCTCACTTCTAAAGCCTTGCCTTGTTCGGTTGAAAGAGAGACTCTGCTTATTCCACCACAAGGTTTTTGCATTTATTAAGTACTCTCTCATAGAATTACACCTTTTATCTAACGCTTTTTCTTAGAAAGAGAATTTCAACCTGTTGTCACGGACAGTAGTTCTTGAACGTACACATTCTGTATGTTTCAGATTGTTTGGATCTCTTTCGTAATTTGCTAAATAGCACATTAAATGCTCATTTTAAATAACTACCTTATATATTCCCTAAATACGACTGTTTCATGGAAAGCAAAAACCTTTTATTATTTGCTCTCTCCTGCCTTTCTAAATCAGCCGCTGATACGTACATTACCGACACATTAAATTAACAATTTACTGACCTGTAACACAAAAACAAGCGGGACTTTTGACAAAAGACTTTTTGGTAACAAAATAATTTGGAGTTTTAGCACGTTTACGACCAAACAAATGTAAATGGAGAAGAAAATTTAGAAGAGGTCGAAGAGGTCCCTTCTCTACGCAAGCCACGGTGAAGGTAATGCCGGCACCCTCAAAGCTTACTACAGTCAATAAGATATCTCGGTCGAGTCAAACCTCAACCATAGATTTTGAATTCTTGTTGTGGTGCTAGAATTTTGTGTCGTAAAGTTGGAAATTTAGAAATAATAGTAAGAGATTGCAGACGATTTTTTCCGTTTGTAAAAATAGCAGGAGTGGTCCGGGAAAAGGATCGCATAGTAGTTAAAGAGGGCTGGGTACGGCAGAGTTGCATTACGGCTACCAAAAATGTTTGAGTACTCAACTTTCAAGTAATTTCTGCGGGGTTACACAGAAAAGGTGTTTAAATATTTTAATTTGGGGTTTACCAGACAGAAATAGAATTCAGGTAGCGCCTGGAGAAAGCGCACATAAATGGTGAGGAGTGTGATGGTGTATGGTGCTTAATCTTAGATGAAGGCTATGGCTGAGTACCACCTAGAAATTCAAAAGTTTATTGTATTTGTAGCTCATCTTTTAAAAAGACGAGTTTTTGGATTAATTTTTCTACCCCATGCTAGCGTTTTGCAGAAAGACAGAAACCTGTTTGCTGGTTCGGAAGCTCAAGAAGAACTATGACATTTCCTTGGTGGTAGAGTGACGTGTCTTCGCGTTTGTCACGTGCGAGACAGGCGTTCAATTGCCGGCTGATTGTGTGTGGCCAAATTTTCAGTATCATAGTGTGATTGCAGAAGCTTAGTCTTTTCTTCTCTTCGCCGTGCTAAATGTTTGAGTGTTCAAACTTCAAAATGAATGTTCAGCCAGAAAATACCTTAAAAAGATTTGTTATCTTGGATTAGTCTAGTATAATATCGTCTGAAATTTTAACTTGATCAATGTAAACATACGAGATGCACAGAAATTAGCAGCACACACTAAGAATCCGTCTTTGGACGTAAAGTCTAGCAGTTTTCAAAATTGGAATGCTATGCAACGGAAAGAAAAATCACTGTGCTGGATAGTTTCTGACACAGTGCAACACATGCGCCTTTCTCAAGCTTTTAACCCTAATGCAGATAACTGCAAGTTCCTAGGCAGCGTCTGCATTGCAAAAACATACTAATTTTTGAGCAACCAGGTGCTACTCATAACCATGTCCGCCGCAGGATTCGAACCTGCGCCTACCGAAGTAGACTGCGACCTGAACGCAGCGCCTTAGACCACTCGGCCAGACGGACAGTAGCTACTACGCTCAATAAACAGAATGGCGCTGACCAAATGAATTACAGCGAAGTTACATTCAAAAGTGTGCTTGAAAGTGCAGAGTCCAATTTTATCTTTCCATGATCGTCGTTCCAGAACTTGTTTATAGTAGTCATCCTAAACCATCTCAAATAAGCCTTCTCAAATTCGAATGGTTTTTGAGAAATTTTATTTGTTTCTTGCGCTTCGCTCTCTCTGCAACTGTTGACCTAAGCCACAGAAATTTGTCGTCATTCACCTACTAAACAGATTTTTCAGAACAGATATTCGACTTTGAGAGGGTCCATGAGAGGTTTCTATAATACTTACTATGAAATAGCTTTAAAAAAGCAACCACGCAAAAACAAAATAGCACTTTTCAGCACAACTTACTACGAAAATTTTGGTCAGCGCCATTTTGCTTAATGGAGGTTATAGTTGGTGTCCGTCTGGCCGAGTGGTCTAAGGCGCTGCGTTCAGGT